ATATATTATGCAAACAAAAACTTGTATTTTGGATGCGATTAATCATTTGACAGCGCTAGTTATTAGAAATTGTGCATGCAGATGGCCTCAAATATAGCAAAACTGCTCTTGAAGTGAATACAGGGTTGGTTTTTCTCTCACCGTTCGGCCAATAGCTGATTGACAGTAATGTATGCCCACATCTGTCGAGCAAAGCCGGTGAAGGAATGTTGATGTGTGCTGAGCACAGAGTCCAACCCATGAATATCCGCCTCTGTCTGAATGTTCAGGTCCATGTTTGCCTAGAGAAGCAAAGCAATTATTATTAAACAAGGCATGAAAACTGAATTTGAAAATCTGAATGGAGACAACGGTGACATGGGGCTCACAGCAGAAGCGGTGGTGAGGCTTTGCAGCGTTGTGAGGTCTGACGGTTGGAGTTTTCCAGCCACTATCAGCTCAGAACCATGGAAGAACTTGTCAAAACGATTCTGAGTCACGTTATTCACAGCGTTCTCAGGAAAATGAATGGCGATGGTTCTCAGCAGAGGAGAGGACACCTGACTGTAGAACGTCTGGAGAGAGAAGAAAAGAAAGATGAATGATCGAAAATAGAGTCTTTAAAAGCTCAAAAGAGTTAATGGAGTTTTGTTTCATTCACATTCACGTCCAATTAATCTCAGATGTTTCTCATTTGATACTGAAAAAGTAACAATAGACTCAAATGAGACAATTGTTGATGTACAGTATTGTGAGCTATAAAGTTAGTCTGTATATCATAGCTCAGATCATTTGAACTTGGAAGAATTTGATGAGAAATGTTTGAGCTCATACAGGAATTCACAACTTTTAGCTGACTTTCTTCTCTTCCGAATCTTTTCTGAAACTGAAAGAGACACTAGGGGTAGAAAAACTTCCATTTGTGTTCAATTTAATCTTGTACTTGTAGTTTTTAGGGCTGCCAAAGTTAATATAATAAAATGTTAATTAAACATGTTTATTGCAATATATTTTGACGTATGTAATGAATTTGGATATATATATACACTCACTGGCCACTTTATTAGGTACACCTTGCT